TCATCCTAAAGACTTAAATAATATACTTAACAGACAGGCATAGGTAGCCATCAGATGGTTCTGGAAATTCAATCTGGGTAAACAATCCCAGAAATTTTTCATGGACAGTCTATCCAGATGTGTTGAACCTTATCTCTCATCACCCAGCTGTCTGTCTGCTTTATGGGCATTGGAAAAGATCCTTTTAGTGCCTACAAGGTTGAGAAATATTATATTTATATATATATACTTATCAGATTTGCAAATTGAAATGGGAGAATAATATATTTCTCATATCTGTGTTAGAACAATTTTGTTAATGAGAAATTGAAACCATGTATTAAATAGGTTTTGAATTTTCAAAAACAATAAAATATATGTAGACGTGGATATTAGTGCAAAGATGAAAAATTTAATGTTCAAACCATTAACTATATCAATAAATCTGTAAATATTTTTATATTGCATAATTTATTCATTTGAATGCTCTTCATTGGAAAAAATCTGTAAAAAATTGCTTCTTGAAAAAGAAGTCTTAAGATTTTATATATATCCTGCATAGATAATATATTGTGATGAGTAACATCATTTGAATTTGGTAACCCCATACAATTATCACAAAAATGAAATAAATTTTTCATTGAAAAATTTATTTTTCAATCTACTCTACTGCCGTCATGCAGTTTCTGTATTGGTTATTATATATTTTTAATAAATAAATTTAACAGCCATTTAATTGTAAGATTACTTAATCAGAATTATTCTAATTAACATAAAACATTTTATAAATATTCTCGTTCATTTTTATGATAACATCAATTCATCATGAAGTTGTTAATATATTTTTCACTGATTTGAAATACTTTAATACTTAACTGCATATTGGTTCTAACTCTGCAATGAAGAAATTTAGTATAATAATTTGAATGTAAAACATGCAATGCTATCTACTTGGGAAGGGAAAAGTATTCAAATACTGATAAATCTGTGTAAAAGTTTTGTTGGCTAAAACTTGAGTTCTTCCTGAAAAATATTCTTTCCCTTCTAATAATGCCAATAAAACACAATTTCTCATAATCTAAAAGTTGCTTTTTTAATATCTGTTATAAGAAGCTTTAGGAATTCTTTTTATTTTTTATACTTTGTATTGGACAAACTTTAAAGAAGAGATTATGAGCTCTATATGTATTAGCCTATTTAAAAACTTCAAAAAATTAATTAAAGTTTATTTTCTTAATACATGGGAAAAAATTTAAATTTTTATTTTATTAAAGAAAAATATATTGCCAAATGAATATATAACAATATCATTCAAGAACATACAAATGAAGCCATGTTCTGTAATGCAGAATGCTAAAAAATCTAATTGGTTGGGAGGGCATAGCAAGGAATTGTTCTATCTTTGAATGGTATCCTGGGTCAGCAAATCAGCCTAGCAGTGTAAGAGATAAAAATGATTATTCATTCACACTAAGCTTAATTTTATCATTGTTATAAAAAAATTAAATTTACATATAAATTTACACGGTAGTCAAAGAGTTTCCAGAATTGTGGTATAGCAGTGTAATGGTATGACATATGGAAACTTATCTAATCTCCTTGAAAATAGGACCCTTCAGCATGTATATATATATATATATATATATGTAAACACACATACAAACATTGGTCCTGCCATTGTTATAAATTGGAAGGCTTCTTTTGGAATATTCAGGAGTTCAGCTGTTGCATTTAATTTTTAGATTACACAGTACCCAATTTCTCACAAAGATCATCACTGGTGATGACTTGTAGATTTTTGCTTATGACAGATGACAATGTAGTCATTAGAATGGCACAGCATCATATTCCTGACCAAAGAAATCATGCCTTGCCAAATCAAGGAAAAGTCTGCTTATTGCATTTTTTGTGTTGTACACCATGAGTTTGTACCATCTGGATAGTATTACTAGTCATTTACACACGAAAGTTTTACATAGGTTGCTAATTTTCGCTTATGACATTACGAGCTCTATATGGAGGAAATGGCACAACAAGGACAGGAAGGGTGGTTTATGCATCACAATAATGCACCAAGTCACTCATCACTTGTACAGAAATTCATTGCTGACAAAAGCCATCATTCAACCACTGTATTCACCAGATCACATTCCAAGTGACTTTTAACTATTCTCTATACTGAAAATGGTCTCAAGGTTCAATGGTCCATCATGGTTACATTTCACAACCATGAATGACATGAAATTGAATGTAATGGCTAAACTGAATATTACTAAAGAAGTCTTCCAATAGTGCTTTCAACAATGGTAGGATTGGTGGAGCAAGTGTGTGTGCTTTAGGAACCTATTTTGAAGGTGATTAGGTAAGTGTTTCCATATGTTCTACCATTACAGTGTCATACAACAATTTCAGGAATTTTTTGACTGTCAGTCTAACATGTATAGCCATTTCCAAGTACTGTGTGCTGCCTGAACTAATAATTCTAGAAGTGGGTTGATTTGTTGATGTTTTATGGTATCAATGTATCCAAAGCTATGTTGTGCCAGTCTAGAAATGGGCAGTCAGGAATTAGAAGTGCGTTCAATATCACAGCAGAACTGGACTTCCATATAACTGAACATGACTTATGCGAGGAAAATTATTATACAGTTACTTTTAAAAAAATTTTAAAGAGAGATTTGCATAACACTCCTGAGTTATTAGAACCATACAAATTACCATAGTCCTTGCTTGTATGGCACTTGATAGAAACATTACTTTTGATTCTTTGTATTTATCTAGTTAGAATAGCCATTTAGGATATTCTAGTATTTCTAATACTAGTACTAGTCAAATTTAAGAACATACTAAAAGTGGAGATGAACATTTTTAAGTCTACTTACAAAAATAGGCATATTTAAATCTTTGGGATGTATGCATTTCTTTTAAAAAAAGTTTGAATGTATAGTACATTAATTAAAATAAATATAAAAGTCTTGTTGAGAAAAGGATGATGATAAACCAAATAGAATACAGAATTTATAAAGTAAAATATAAATGGAGTTATATGATTGAAGAATTCTCAAAACATGCTACTTTGGACACATGCCATAAGTTTACCATCTATGTACTAGAGCAATAAAAGGAAAATATTCAGTTGGATTGTTTTTTGTTCTATAATTGCAAACCAACAGATAAAAGATTCAAGCCAATTATTTTGTTCAACAATTTCATAATTTCTGCAAAGAAAATTAACAAAGGACATGCTATTATAGATATTTTAAATTTGATATTGTCTCATATTATGATTTACTTAAGATATCCTTTTAGCAGGGACTGAAATTTTACACAAAGGGGGCTAACTCAAAAATTAGAATTATTTGAATAATTATAAGTACCTGTTATTAACATGTGCAAGACATGGTAAATATCATTTATCAAACCATTCACTATCATAAATGTTTTGATGTTCAAACAAATTGACAAAAATTTTTTTTATTTTTTAATATGGGGAGGGATTAAGTCCTGATAAATCCTTGTGGATTTATCCCTGGTTGGAAGTTAGTAACAGTCACCCTCAACTAAACAAAAATAAGTAACTAAGAACAAAGTACAGGTATTTCCATATGAATTATTTGATTTTATACCTTTTTAGTACATACAATACATATCGATTTTAGTAAATATTATATTTATAAAAAAAATAAGCACAGCAAAAAATGTAGCTTATACAATTTGACTATTCAAAATTTAAAAATATATTTCAGTTGCAAACATAAAATAAAGTAATCCTCAAGTAAGCAAAAAAAAAAAAAGACAAAAATAGAAAATAAAAGTATACTGCAATGTTCATATCATTATACTTTGCTGTAAACAGACCACACAGATTGAATATCAGAAAAGAAATGGCTAGATGGCTGAAATTATTAAGATGTCACCTATATTGTTCTGGAGGACCTGGAATCAAATTCAGGTGAGCAATCCCAGGAATTTTTCATGAGTTGACGAATACATTGGCCCAACCCCCTTACTACCCAACTCTGCCCCATTGTGGATCTGGTGAGATAATGGGTATGGAAAATAGTCCTCTTAGTGTCCACATGGTGGAAAGTCAAAAATGAGAGGAAAAAAATGTAAAAATTGCTGTTGCACACGTATCTAGGAAACTGGAAGTTCAGAAGCATTCACCTGTTTTGTTTTATGCTATGTGCTAATAAGCAAATAGATATTATACAAAATGCTTAGTTTCATTAGACAGAAGCTGAAATATACATCCATTTCAGCATCTGCACAAACCAGGTTAGCATTTCAAGAAATGACTAGAAAAAGATAGATTTGAATCAAATGCTTATTACAGGCTATGCTAATGGCTTCAATAAATGGCAAATTAATATATAAATATTAGAAAAAATATACTCATATAACCTCGAATAGAATTTTTTGAATTGCTTGATAATTGGTAGGAGGTAAAGTGCTCACTCATGAATTTTATACTCTTGTGTTTAAGGTATTTTAAGTTTAATTGTCACCTACCTCAGGTTACAGAGGCCAAAAACACTCATGATGATAAATTTTCTTTGCTTGAAGTGTATGAAAGATGTAGTTTTACTAAAATATTTCAAATTTCAGATGAAATCAAAAAATGCTATCAGTGTAACTTTTATTTATAAATAAAATGTATGAAAGTTACATTACATTATGTAACTTTCATACCTTTACATGTTATGATTATTTTCTTTTGGAATTCATTGCCAATAGATTTCATAAGTTCCATAAATTACATATTATTAGAAATCAAAAGTGGGAGAGATTACATTTTGATTTGATTATGATCTTTAAATTCTGCAAATAATACAGTTAGCATTGTTTGGGATCATTTCTTATGGAATCTTTGTGCATCAAAGTTTCCATATAAAAATTAGTTAACTGATTAAAATTGATATAATAATATAATGTAATGGGGACAAATTTAGAATGAGAGATTATAAAAATTTTCAATTAATAATTTCAAATATTCAGTATATATAATTTTTCTTTACTAGATTTAAACGAAAGCAAGTTTTAATTCCTGCATTTGAACATGAATATAGGCATGGTTTTCAACATATTTGTCCGAGGTAAGATATAAATTTTGCTATTTTATTTCCTAAGTTACCTATTAAAATATTTCTCCTCCTTACTTTAAATTTCAGATCACACAAATAAGAAACAAAAATATAGAATAATTATGTTTAATCTTTCACTTCATTAAATACGAGGGATGATAAAAAACTAAGGTTACAAAGCCTGCAGTGAAAAGTGTACATTTTATTTCATACAACCAATACAGCCAACTGATAGTACATAACATNCTATTATGCATTATAATTTCAATAAATGTCAGTTTTTATTATAATTTTTGTTCTATATCTTTAGCTCAGTTTTTAGAAAATATGAATTGTAAAGTACAGGTTTTACTATGAAACATTAAATTATAACTCAATATAATTATGACTTACGACTGAATTCGGTTTTGAAACTTCAGACATAAGTTGAAATGGTTGTAAGTCAAATTTCATACAGAAATAAATAATATAATAGACAATTTAAAATAAAGTAGAATTTTCAATTTACACTGCAAGTAAACTACTTATAACAAAACAATTAGCCATCTTACACAAGCATACACAAAGGGTAAATAAATGCACAACAAAACTAAAGATGAAGCAATTGATTGCAGAAGTGTGCAAGATATATATTTGACAAAAACTATTAAAAAATGATATATTTTTAAAATTTTTTTGTCATAAGTCAAGGTGGTTGAGAAGTTACTATAATATTAAAACATGAAAATTAGTATGCAGGCTTTAAATTTTTTTATTTTTGCATTCTGTTTGCAACAATAGCTTTTATAATTGCATGCTAAAAGTTCTTACTTTACAAAATTAAAGTCTCAATTTTGATTCCCCATGGGAGCTCTATGAATCACATTTGCCTCAGGCTACGGCAGAGGAATAGAGATTATAGTGTCTTTAAGACAAAATTGTTATTATATTTAATATATGTCCAATGACTAACCATAAAGAATGCATTAATGAATTGAAGTATTAATAAGTAAGAATAATTATTTATCATATATTAGTATTAGTTTGTTTAATAAAATAAATGAAAGTAAGTCTAAGTGCAATGGACTCTCAAAGGATTCACTTCATCAGGAGTTAACTATACATGTAAAGAATAGCAAGAATCAATAAAACTAATTACTGTATCATTGGATCTGTGCCATAAAATTTATGTCACTTTTCTTCTAACTGACAAAGTGAGTAAGTTATAGAAACAAAGATTTTCAATGAAAACCTCCTATGAAGAGAAGTCATTGAAAAAATTAGATCAATATAACATAAATTGAAATTTTTTTAATACAGTCTCAAGCTTTCTTTTGGCTTTTCTGTAAAATTGTTCAAAATTGGACATATGACCTCTTGGCACACACCCAACAGTACATTACAGGAATTAAATTTTAATCCTTGTCATTTTAAATACATTAATGAGATAATATTTAATTTATAGAACTAAAGAAAATGATAAAATAAAAATATAGCAACTACTGTATATTTTGCTTTGTTGTGATTCTTTTTATTACCTTTCTAAAATTTTAATTAAATTAAAAACAACTATTCTGGATTTTTTCTGAACTTTATTTCAAAATATATTTGAAGAATACAGAGAAGCTTCAAAACTCCAGACCCCATCTAGATTTAGATTTTCAATTTATCAATCTGAATGTTGAAGAATATATACATATGTAAAATAGCATGAGTAAAATATGTTTTGAGAACAATAATTAATTCAGAAAAATTTACTGAACCAGCACCACATGGTTCACAATAAATTTTTTGTATAGGAAAACCTGTTCAAATGAAACTCGAGTAAAAGGAAACATCTTCAGGATGGAGTGATTTTCTATGTTAAAAAAAAAAACCAGTGTAAAATGGAAACTTGCCAAACTATAAAAAATATTCTGTACAGTACAGATAATATTAAAAAATAGGTAATGCAATACTATGTAAATACAATACTTTTCAAAGTTTTTTAAAAAGTGAGGGCCTGAAAGACAGCTTCGCTTACTTTTTCCTGTTCCTAAAAATTCATCTTAAAGCTAAAAAGAAAATTTTTTAAGTAAGCTGAAGCTAAGAAATGTGCTGAATACTGTAATCTAGAATTTCCCAATCAATGTTAGATCCTAAAAACATTTTATCTCAATATTGCAGGTGATTGTTCATAAACTTCTCACAATTTTACTTGGAACTTTGAATTGACCAAAAAAGAGGAATTTTTTTTATATTACTTCTACAGCAAATTAAGGGTCTGGAAGAAATGTTTGAATTATCCAAGTTCTACTGTAGCATAGACTTTTTGATTTTAATAAATTTAAGTTAATTTAACAGTTAAAATTTTAAATTAATGATTTAATTAATTGGATTTGATTAACTGTTTATTGACCATAATGATCAATAATAAAATAATGTAATATTCAGAAATATTATGATTACCATATTAATGGATTTTTCAATGTGTTCTCATGAATTTTATAATTTACATATACAGAATTTCAATGTTGTGGAATTTCAGAATATTATAATCCTTACCTTCAGAATCAAATAAATTACTCTGATAATTATTTGGAGTATTCTTTTATGAAATTTATTTGTTTTATTATCAAGCTACACTTTGGATTGCAAATTTCCTTTTTAATCAAACAGTCCGGTAAATCTGGAAATTGAACATTTGGTTTAATACTAATAAATCAGGTTAGATTTACAGGTATATCTCGCCTTACGTCAATAATTGGTTCCAGGAGAGGCAACTTAAGTCGAAAAACGACGCAAGACGAATTTACTTGTCTCCGAATTTACTCGTCACTAGGATAAACCACAAATAACTGTTCTCAGTTCTGTATTTTATTTATAAATGCATTTTTAATAATATGTGGTTAATAAGAATCTATTTTAAGCTTACCAACAAATAAATTTTAGTTTTTAATATAGTACAGAAAAAAGTAATCTAAATTTACGAATTCATGTACAGTACATATAGTACATACTACTTGTAAATGTACATGTTTACAGTACATCACGGACTCTTTATTTGTGAATGTGGTTTGCTCTAAGACATTATAAAATAAGATTATTTGTTATTTAACCTTACAAAATCCAGTTATTAAAATTATCTTGTGACAGTAGAAAATAAACTAATTTATATTAAATTTACCAATATCGAGTGGCACTGATGATGACGCCAAACGGTAGATATTGGAACTACCATGGAAAACACCAATATTGAGCATTTAAAGACCACTAAATAAGACGACAATGCAGCCACAGGTGTTTTCATGTTTCATTCTTAGGATTTCTGATGATTATATTAACATTTACTGTAAATGTACAGTACATATTTTAATGAGTTTTGTGTGTGCTTTTAACACTTTTTTAGTGATATTACGACTTCAATATTTGTGGTGGACAAAGTTGAATAAAATGACTTAAACTTGATTTTTATTTTTCCATATATTTTTTGACAAACAACGTATAATCGAGAATGATGTAACTCGAGGTATACCTGTATATGTAAAGAAAGAAATTGAAAATTATATAGTTTCTTATATTTTATATAATCAGAGTTAAAATAAATCTTGTTTTCAAGTTATAATTTTATTATATCATGTAAAAAAATTTTTTTTCTAGACAAGAAACTAATGTTCGTTCTGTGCATGGTACTCAAATGATATTTCTACAGAATGATACTGGGTTTGCACGATGGGGACCCACTCCAGAAAGGCTAGATGCTGTGTTAGAATCATACAAACCTGGACGTGATAAAGAAAGAGAGCAGACTATGTATCCACCACCCCAACAGAATCAGAATACAGTTCTTACATCTCATTCAGATCAAACTCAGCAGATTCAAAACCCAACAGCTGGACCTTCTCATGCTGCAGGTCAGCCAAAGAACTTTCATGTTGATCAACCCACTTCATCAACTGTTGGTTTATCCACTGTACCTATAAATCATGTTTCTTCTCACAGGCAGCAGTAACACATTTGTACTATATTCAGTGTGCAATGCCAATTGCAGATTATATTGAAAAACTAAAGACTTTATCATCTCTTGTATAGAAAGTGAAGTTCTTAGAATTTAATCAATCAGTTGATATTGCTTTGTTTTTAATTATTGTTATTGTCACTAGTGTTATCATCACATCTAGCTAATATGTTTCATACAATTCATCAAAAGTAGTGTTCCTGTTAATAATGTAAGTTTTAGCATTGCATTAGAAAGTACCTATGTGCAGATCCTAGAAGATTGTATAAATATATGTCCTAGTAATTATTGTATATGCTTCAGTATTAAATGTTTAATGCTTTGTATGTAGCATAATTAGAAACATTTTCTTGATAATCTTTCTTGTTTCGGTATCAACCAAAGAAAGATGATTTCTTTGTCATTAAAGCATTTTATCAAAGAGATATAAATATATATATTATCTTTGTTTTTACTATATGAGGTTAAACCTCATGCATGTACATAGCAAATAAGTGTGCTGTTTTGTGTAGTTGAAGAGCATAAATCATTTATCGATTTTCAAATAATTGTGTGCAATTACTTTTAAATAAGTTTATTTTTTCATTTTGTTTTAAATTTTTCTCTTTGACTAAAATAAATATTGTTAATTTTGAAATTACATTTAACCTGCAGGGAAATTTATTTTGGTGTGTGATTGTTCGTGTGGGATGTTTAATTTACAACCAAAAATTTTAAGGAAAATGATGTAAGAATATTGTAATGTTATCATGAAACCGGCCAAATAAACAATGTTTTATCATTAACTAAATTCTAAATAACAGGTTATCATATTGGTTTAAAATATTTTTAAAATTTTTGTTTAAATTATGCACAATATTTGTTTAAATTTCTCTTAACTGTAATTGTTTTATATTCAAATCAATGTTTAAATGTGCATATTTTTTATGCAATGTTTAGGATCTGTCTACCATTTTTGTTATTGAATTGTATATGGTTATTTCATTGAGCTGGATGTAATTTTAAGAAAAAACCAAATTACAAAAAACATTTTTGATATTCTTTGGAAACTTCTCTCTTAAAATATAAGAAATGTTTTTTCTTCAATATTATTATTTTAGAAGAAATATCTTAATTTAAAAAGTTTTTTAAACTTTCACTGAAAGAACTTTCACAACTACAAATTGTAAAAAATAAACTTAATATAATATTATTCGTCAAAGCACAAAAAAGATGTATTTAATAAAAAAAATTTAAAAGTTGAAATAAAAACATCATGTTGACTTATTCTGTTTAGTTTTATTTAATTTTAGTTAAGGTCTAAAAATGCCTGACATTCATGATATGACACTTCATTAAACCATTAAAATTTAACTGTAAAAATACTTTACAGTGAAAGTATTTTTACACAGTTAAATTTTTATTTTTAATTAGAACAATAGCAGAAAGCTTTTGCATTATTGCTTAAAATAATAAATGATATCCATTTTCTGGAAAATAATTTTTATTTTAATATCTCAAAGGTTTGAAACAATAAGCTGCTTATCCCAACTAAGTTTATCACTTCATTTATACAATAATCTTTTGTTATGTGGTGAGGGCAATAAAATTATTAATAAATGTAGCAAGTTTATTTAAATCACATAAATCATTAACAGTATAAAAGGGAATTTGCTTGCTTCTTCCTCAGTCCATTCATAACTGTAAGATTTAACTCTGATAAATGAAATAACTGATATTTATATATGAGAATATATAAATAAACATTGTAGAGATGATACTTATAATGGTGTTAAAACATATGAATATGTCTAAACTGTTTCAATCTTCCTAAAACTTGAGGTAAGTAACATATTGAAAGTCCTTTATTGTTAATTTCTCTTAAGATTTCAGTTTCATTTTATCTTTATTTACTTTAAATATTATTGATGATGATTCTGTGTAATTCAATGTTTAAATGTTTTTTCTTTCTGTGTAAATTTCCTTAAACTAGACAAATACAGTAGACTCTTGTTAATTTGAACTCAGAGGGATGGCCTAAACACTTTAAATTAATATCACTTTTGATAGCTGTTATTATGATCTATGTATGTATGTCTCTTTAATCCAAAATTAAGTTCGGTAGACTATCATTATAGCTTTCAGGTTAGACACTTCTTTTATTGTTTCCACATATGCATTTCGGACTTATATAAATATTAAGTCCCTCTTCAGTGCAATACTATGGTTCTGTCTTCTAAGGCCACAGTATACAATGGGTAACATTGGAAAGATATTTTTAATACAGCCATTAAAAACACCACAAATACATTTTCCAAAACATTAATACAGAAAACTTTTAACATGTGCTCATAAAATCTTATATAAGTACAACTTTTAAAGAATGTGTATATTTTACAATATAACGTTGCAGTAACTGCAATTATAATCGTTTTACAGGTTAATTATATGTAGTATAGTAATATTAAAAACATTTTTAAGAGAATACATACACAATTTTACAATATATTTCCAATTATTTTCTGTCACAATACTGTGTGATAAATACATTACAAATCTTTACTTTAAAAACTTTAAATTAAAAGGAGACCATTTTTGTATGCTTCAGAACAAAAAAATGATTTTAATACCACAAGGGCAAATAGAATAATGTTGAATCAATGAGTAACACAAAACAAAGATATAATAATGCATTAACATAAGAAAGAAAAATATCATGAGAAACAATGAGGAGCAAGCTCCACAGGGTGACTGTAAACTGTCATAATTCTGCACCAACCAATTTGAAATGTTTTTAAATTTGTTCTTTAAATTTCAAAAGTGGGAATACAATGCTGATCTACTAACACATGCTCTTGATTGTGCTGCTTCCTGTTTATTCCAATCAAGTTCAAATTAACGAGAGAATTTTATATTAATTTAAATAGGAATCGGACAGGGACTAGTGTCTAGTTTGAATTAATTAGAGATCTACTGTATTTGCATTAAATGTATGAATAACATAGTTGTTATCTTAAATAAAATTAATATTTTTTTCACATTTAAAATGAATTGTCACAATTTTTTCTACGAATATATTTAAAAAAAAGAATTTATGAATAATGAATTTAACATGCTTTAATTATTGTTTCTACTAAAGAAAAGTACAGTGTTAGTTATCATAGTGAATTGATTAAAAGAAAGAAATAAGTTAGTTGGAAAGTACAGCCATGATAAAAATAATCATCGAATGTAAATTTATTGTAAAGAAATTATAAGTAAATCAAATGGAATAGAAATTGAATAAATGTAATGTAATTCAACAAAATTTATATTTTATATCATAATGTACTATGTACATGAAAATAATTAAAATTATGACCAAAAAAAACATTTTCATTTAAAATAATAGTATCAATTGTTTTCAGTTGATAAACAACTTTTAAACAAAATGCAGTTCATTTAAACTAAAAATAACATTTAAACAAATAACAAAGTCTCCATTTTATCCTGGAAACATTGAGATTTTATCATTAAACAATTCTTTAACTTTTGTTTTAATGAAGAAATTATTGCAATTTTACTTCTATTCTTTTATTGTAACATTATCACAAAACCAATTTCATTTGCTAATTTACAAGATAAATGTTTAACAGTAGATTTTACTCTATTAAAAACTTGGTATACCGTACTCCTGTTAATCCGAACATTACTGCCAGATTAGTGTAATGAATTGTTTGTTTTCAACTCTTGGGTACTGATTTTTATGCTGGGAACTGTATTGTTTTGTTACTGTGAAATTACGAGCTTACTGTATGCATTTAAAACAATGAATAGCAGAGGAATATAATTAGGGCATGCCGGATTAGCGAGAGTGTAGTATATATTGTTATAACTATTACTTATAATCTGTAATTATTACGTAATTAAATTTAATTCTTTGCATATTATACATGTAAATGGTGTGATAATGTAAAAGAAATTTGTTATAAAATCCTATAAAATTACTACAAAAACAATTTTACCTGTAAGCCGCCATCTTGATTTCGGCAATAACGTCATCAAAATGACTAAAGCAGACGACATTTATCCGACGTAAAAAAAATTTTTTTTTAATTAGTTTAACTTATTTTATTCGTTTAGAACAATAATGCACTTATTTTTCTATTTACAAGATTTTTATCATATTTTTCGTAGATAAAATTATAGGCTATATTTTTTTAATATATGACATCACAACGGGCGACGATTTATCGACAAGTTTTTTTTTTTTTTTTTTTTTTTTTTTTTAACTGTCGGGTATGATGCGTTTATTTGATACTAGATGGCGAGGTGATCGGCTTGTGAATTTTTAAAGACGCCATATTTTTTTATGATTGCATCTAAGTAATTGTTAATAAGTATTAATTACCGAATTTTGTGTTTAGTGACTGTTCGTTAAAATAATGAAATAATACGCATTTACGATAGCGGAAAATTATTTCAGGCATGAAATTATCATCCGACCCTTTCATTGCTAAATAATCAAATATGCACAAAATAATGTTATTAAAAGTAAGCGTAAAACAAAATTAGTCATTTAATTTTAATAAAAACCCTTATTTAAATTCTTGCAGTGTATTTTGAAACTTTCCAAACTGTTGGGATTATGATTGTTAAATAATCACGCTTAATTAATCCCGCCACACCGCGATCATTTTCGGAATTATTTTCGAATTTTCAACCATATTTTTTTCTTTCTTACTTTACTTTCTTTCTTTAAATAGTTCGCTTCTGCTTCTAATTCTAGTGAATTTCGAATTGATCCACGTGAGACGAAGTGTCACGTGACGTCACGGTAAAGAAACGAAAACTTTCTCGACGTCACGCGACTACGCAACATAAAGACAGAAATTATGACTCGAACTAGTGACGTAAACAATTTAATGACGACACAATTAACTTTCGTAAGAGGAAATCTATTTTTACGCGACGTTGCCATAAAAAAATATTATGACGTCACGCGACAGAATTTTTTTTTTAAATTTTTAATGGCGGAATTCGTTACTTTTCATAACCGCCGAAGATTTGCGAAGTTAAAAAGGGGGAGGGAAACAGTATAAAAATTCAAAAAAATAAAAAAAGCGAAAGAAGTGAAGGTAGTTCATTGTCCCGCACACACATCTAGCAAGTAGATGGCGTTAAATAAGAAGCGTAATGCCGACGTGAGAGATGAAAAGTATAACGAGAAGCGACAGCTGCATAAATTCATGAACTTTCATCCCTTTCTTTCTTTTCCTCCCTCCTTTTCTTTTCCGAGTTGCCGTTGCTAGCTGATGGTTTTATTTAACTTCTTTCGACCCCTGATTTCGATACGGATGGCTTGGTTCGAACTTGTGTAACCGTATGAGGTGGGAGACCACCTGACTTTAAGTGAGAGTGAGTCGGCCAAGTTACCGACGTCTCTTTTGTTGGACGACGATGGATCAAAAAGGGGCGCTGCTACCGATAAGAAAATCAGACCATTCACGCTCCGAAGAACAGAAAGAACAGAAATCTTCCCTTTTCTCTTCTCCATCTTCCACTTTCTAAGATAGATACCGCCTGTGTTGAAGTTTCTGCTTTCTGCCTTTCTTTTTTCGTTTGTTTGTTTATTTTTTTAAGAGTATGAACCTTTTCTTGTTTTTTAAATATTGTTCTTGTGCTTTTTTTTAATTGGCCGTTTGAAATTAATACGCTGCTAACAAATTTACAATATATTATAGTGTGTCGCGCCTTCTTATGTTTCCTTTCTAGAGATGAGAGTTGTAGATAAAGCGGTGTGGCTCTCTCTCTCTCTCTCTCTGTGTGTGTGTGTGTGTGTGTTGCTTGTACGTGTATGGGAAAGTACTAAAAAATGGAAAATTTTGCAGGAGCTATGAACATGTCAAATTCTGTTCCGTTTTGAATGGTCCAACGATTCTACATTCCGGACAAGTTCGGAATCGAAAAACATAAATATAAGATTGCGACATTGAATAACACTCGAGCGACTTCTCCTCAATCAAACGTTTAAATCGCGGAATATTCGTCATAACTTTTCGAAAAAAAAAATAGAATATTATAACGTGAGAATTGTTT